TTTTTTTTTAATGGCTGCTTTTATACAGCCACTAAAACTATGATTTAGGAATCTACAGTAGAATATTTGTTTAATTCCTAGAATAATTCATAGTTAAGTTCACTATATTATTTGCAAGAATTTCACATTTGAGAAGACTAAGAAATTTTCTGTCTTGCCAACTCTATGACACGTCAACACAGGCCAAAGTTCAAGTACATCTCTGTATCCTAAACAGTGAGAACGTTCCTTTAAAGCTGGGCTATCACAGCTGGGGACGGCTTGGTGGGGAAAGGAGCCTGCTAAGCCCGACACTGAGCCGGATCTCAGGGACCCACATGGCAGGAGACTGACTCTCCCGAGTCAGCACACGACTTCCACGCACGTCCATGAGCACACTCACTTGTAAGTAAATGTCAGAGGACATAAAAATTGATAAATAAATAAAACCAAGACAGCATACCTCAAATTGGAGAGTTCTTGTTCCCATTCTACCTTTTCATGCTCTAACTGTGACTTTACTTCTTTTGTTTCTGATACTTCCTTCTGTAATTCCTTAAGTTTATTTTCCATTCTTTTAAGTTTTCCTGTAAGTAGTTCACATTGGCTTTTTTTAAATTCTAATAATCTTTGATATGAATAAACTGCATCCCGGATTTTCAAAAGACTAACAATATCTGAATCAGGGGGAAAATAAGAGACAAATAAAATGAGTGAGCATATTAAAATACTGCATTTTTATATTCATTCACTTATACACCGAAGAAATATATAGTAAGTGTTTACACACTAAGCTCTGCAAATAATGCAGGCAAGACCCTTGGTTTTTTTCAGCTTAAAAGAAAATATGGAATTACACACCTGGGTTTTTGAATGAAACTGGGTAGACCTGGAGGTCTTCATGTTAAGCAAATTGAGCTAAACTCAGTCAAATAGTCCATGTTAGATTTCAAACAGAAAACACAAAGCATTTAGTGAGCCTCTCTTTCAGTCTGCTTTTACCCAAAATGGGGTAACAGCTATGGAGCCATGTTCCCACTGAAAACAACTCAAATGAACACAGTTAAAACCTCTCAAATAATTCTCAAGACAATGATCCTAACAGATGGAGTAAATGAACTCCACGAATGTCCCAGGTCTCTCGAATCACAGGAAAAGGAACTCAAGTAGAGCTCCCTAGACTTGCTGAGTTGAGGTGATTAAGTTCAGAGTCTGATAAACCAAGACAGCTTGAGATCACAACAGACCAGAGAGGAGAGAGCATCATGGAGAAAGAAGAGCCTGCAGGTCTACAGAGGCCCCTGGAGTACTTAGCCAAGCACTGAATAATGGATGTATAGGAAGAAACTACAGGAACAAGGATAAAACATCTGAAAAGATTAGATGAGATTTCACCCAATGTGCTCACAGGACCAAGAAGAATATCTATTCTGCTTAGTGAGGCTGGACAAACACAATTTAACAGATGATAGATACAGATCAGAAAGGAGTTCATCATAGCAAAGGAAAAGAAATACATGCAAAATGTTTAATATTTATTATGAGTTTAAGGCACATTAAGACCATAATGAGATACATAGAATACACCTATAAGAATAGCTAAGATTTAAAATACTGACAAACAGTGCTTGTGAAGACAGAGCCACTGGATCTCCCTTGTCCTGTGGGCTGGAAAACAGAACAGGGACATGCTAGGAAACCATCTTTCAGCTTCTTAATAAGGAGCATGGGAGAAATGGGGAGGCTTTTGGGATGGGTTTGTTAACTATCTTGATTATGGTGGTTAAATATGTTTAATACATATGTTGAAACTAACCAAATAACGTTTATATATCAATATGCCTTGCTGAAGCTGTAAAACAAAATACTGCAAGAGCAAACTTCTAAGACAACAAGTGGGACACAGAAAAGTCAGGAGAAAAAAACTAAAGGATTGAGAATTTAACCTCATAGCAAAGGGTTAATATGATCAGATCCGAATCTTTGCAACTACACAATTACAGTTAAAAAAGAGACCGCGTTTGCAGGAAGTGGGTAGCAGGGGAAACAGTTCTCTAGTTTACAGTATTCTAGATAGAGACCAGGTGTCTCAGGGTTACTATTGCTGTGATGAAACACTATGACCAAAGCAACTTGGGGAGGAAAGGGTTTATTTGGCTTATGCTTCCACATCATTGTTCTTCATCAAAGGCATCAGGACAGGAACACAAATAGAGTAAAAACCTGGAGGAAAGAACTGATGCAGAGTCCATGGAGGGGTGCTGCTTACTGGCTTGCTCCTCATGACTTGCTCAGCATAGGACCACAGGTCCAGGGTAGCTTTGTGGCCTCTGCCATCAATCACTAACTAAGACAATGTCCTAGAGGTGAATCTTATGGAGGCATTTTCTCAACTGAGGCTCTCTCCTCTCCGATGACTCTAGCTTGTGTCCAGTGGACATATAACTAGCTGGCACACCAGGTAACCACACCCGGTGACAGTAAGGCACAGAAGAAAAGCAAGATCAATAAAAAGCCTGAATGTGTCAGTCCCACGCAGAAAAGTCCAGTGAGAATGACTACTAAACAGCTCGCATACTACTGTAACATAAAGTACATTTCTGACAAGGCCAGCACGGCCGCACACTGGTGTTCTAGGGTCAATGCTAAGCAAGTGTGCACACGTTACCATACACAGGAAAGCTATCCATTTCTACAGTGATCATACCTCTACACTCCGTCCTCAGATGCTCAATTTCACACAAAACGCTCTCATAATTGGGGCACTGGAGCTCGCAGTCCTCAGAGGCTGTTTCAGACGACTCACTCCAGGCATCAGGGTCGTCCACAGCAGATACTTGTTTTCTGGTCTATAAAATAAACACTATTTAAAACTGTTTCTCTAATATTTACATGATGCTTGAAATAATGTTTTATATAAGCAGAAACAGACACTTCTTAAAAGAGCTGACCATTGGCAGAAGTATGCTTTAATTAACAGCTACTACTTCTTTCTTTTTTAGGGTAAATGTCTTCCCATAACAAGGTCTTCTGTTTGTTCACTTTATCTTTCTTATCTTTTAACTTATACATCTTTACTTTTATAATGTATTTTAAAACAAATACCATTTTTTTTATTATTTTTACATTACCTTGTTATTTTTATTAGATGTTTTCTTTGTGGGCCTAAAATGAAAAACAAACCAATAAAAATCCTTTAAGACTAATATTATATGAAATACAAAGAATATCTAAGATTATTGACTTTTATACAAAACCTCTACATTTGAAATTTATTTCTCTTACTAATAACCTTTACAGGCTATTTAAAATAAAATATTTTTCTATAAGAGGATTTGATTATAAACACAGAAAAAAGATAAAATAATTATTAATATCAAAAGAAGGAATTAAAACATATACATATATATTTTTTTATTTAGCCGAGGATGACCTTGAGCCTCCTCCCTGGGCCACCAGTGCTGGGGATTTAAGTGTGTGCCACAAATGCCCACAGTGGACTGCCAGCAATCAAATATAGGGTTTTGTGTATTCTAGGCAAGCACTCTGCCAACTGAGCCACATCCCCAGGACAGAAAGAATTAAACTTAGATCAATGTTCTGATGTTCAAAGAAAAAGGAAAAACATGCTACTTGCTTTATTTGACAGAAAGAAATATATAGTAGTTGGAAGGCTTCTCTGGTCCCGTCTGGCCCCCGGGGGTCCCATAGCCACTTACAAAATCATCACTCGGAGGCTTATTATTATTTACAAACTGTTTGGTCTATGGCAGGCTTCTTGCTAGCTAGCTCTTATATCTTAAATTAACCCATTTATATTAATCTATGTTTTGCCACATGTTCTGTGGCTTACCAGTCTGCTGGCATGTTGTTTCTTTGGTGGGGGTTGGCAGTGGTTGGCATCTCCCCTTCCTCTGCCTTTCTTCTTCCTCTCTCTCTTTCCAGTTGGAATGTACCACCTAACCTTATTCTGCCTCACCATTGTCCAAACAGCTTTATTTATCAACCAATCAGAGCAACACATATTCACAGCATACAGAAAGACATCCCACAGCAATGTACCATTAAGAAAAGTTTTTTTCCCCCGAGACAGGGTTTCTCTGTGTAGTTTTGGTGCCTGTCTTGGATTTCGCTCTGTAGACCAGGCTGGCTTCGAACTCACAGAGATCCACCTGGCTCTGCCTCCCGAGTGCTGGGATTAAAGGCATGCGCCACCGCCACCCAAGAAAAGTTTTTTACATTTCTTTTTAGTGTATGTGTGTGTCCCTGCACACACGTGTGTATACATGTGTGTTACAGTGCAAGTGAAGAGGTCAGAGAACAGCGTGTATAAGCTGGTTCTCTCCTTTGGCCATGTGTGTTCTGGGATATCAAATTCAGGTCCTCAGGCTTGGTGGCAAATGCTTTCATCTTCTAAGCTATGTTACTGGCTCCTATTTGTTGTTGTTACTGTCATTTGCAATAAAAATAAAGTTTTGTGAGCACTACAACCTTTCTGGGAAGTGCTTCTGAAGTCCTTATATAAGGAAATCTTTTTTTGTTCTGTTTTGTTTTTAAGATGAGATCTAACTGTGTAGCCTAGGTAAGTCTGGAATTCAGTATGTGGTCCAGGCTGGCCTTGAACTCATGGTGGACTTCTTGCCTCAGCTTTCCAAGTATTGAATTACAAGCATAAACTACCAAGTATGGACTGGAAACATTCTTTTCAAAATGATGACAGGTCTTACTTTTTCTGGACCTATAATCACTAGGCATTACTATAAGCACTGTTCATGTGCTCACCTCACTGTAGTCCACAATTCTGCAAGACAGGTTAAGATGTAGCAGGCATTTTACAAAGAAATGAGGCAAAGAAAAGACAGCCAAAGTGTCCTAGAACACACAGTTGATCAACGGCAGACCCAGCACAACCCAGGAGCATACTATACAGTCTGAAAACTAATGCTACATTTCTTCAAGTGTTTTTCAGTGATACAGCAGTAAATGAATCTGTATTATTATTCTACTTTTAGTTGTAATTATTAATAATTCCTGGATCTTATGTATGAATCAAATATTTTCTAAATAAAGACGTATCCCTCAATAATTCGGGGAAATTGCTTTGTATGAACTAATCTATTCTGAAGAATCAGGCATCATTAATCTATTCAACTGTTCAGCATTACATTCAGGAAATACTGAGCACATGATACACATAATGACACTTGCTACAAGGAATTGTTTTCATACTTTTTTTTTTTTTTACTGAATTTAAAGTGTCTATAATAGTTTAACTTTTAGGACATCATTTTCATGTTTAATTCATATTAGTATATTCCATTTCTCAAGCTATTTACTTTAAAAAAAAAAAAGAATGAACAGTGAGAGATCTTAACACCAGAAACATTTAAATAGATGGACTGAGAGAGTTGCTCTTGCAGAGGACTCAGGTTCAGCTCCCAGAACCAAGATGGCTGCTCACAAGCATCTATAATTCCAGTTCCAGGGACCCAATACCTTCTTCTGGTCTCTGTGGACACTGCATGCCCATGGTACAAAGATATACGTGAAGGCAAATACCCACACATATAAAACTTTTTAAATAATTTTTTTTGAGACGGGGTTTCTCTGTGTAGCCCCGACTGTCCTGGAACTCCCTCAGGCTGGCATCACAGAGATCCGCCTGCCTCTGCCTCCTGAGTCCTGGGATTAAAGATATATGCAAAAAAATGAATCTTAAAAAAAATTTTTAATAGAAATTCTGAGGACAAGTAAGTAATAAATCTTCAGGGAAATGCCAAGTTTAATACCTCACACACACACACCAAAACACACCGAGCAAGCACACACTTCTCCGCTGGATCCTGACATCATGCAAACATATTCTAAACACCTCTTTTAGAGAAGATTCTTAAAATCGCACATTTTCTCCAGTTACTGCCCACTTTTCTATTCTCATTCCCAGCATATAAACCTGAGGAGTTGTCTACACTTCTGTAATGCAGTCGGACTTCCACGGTGACCCTTTATTGAAACTGCATTTACTGAAGTCCCTTGCCCTGTCTTCCCCTTTCAGCAACACTGATACAGGTTAGTTCTTGCCTGGAACATCCTGTTGTATTTCCACAAGTAAGTAGTCACGGCTACCATTCCTTCGCAGGGAGTAAGGAACTCGTATTTTACCTCGTCTCACTCTGGTCCGTGTCGCTGAGGCTGGAACCGTCCTGCATTTGCAGGGAACCCCCAGGTGGTAAGCCAGCTTTCTCCATCGTTGGCATCGGGACAGATTCTCTGGACACCCACTTTTCATTCTTCTTTTTCTTCGCTTCCTTCCTAAGGAAGACAGGACCTCTAAAACTATCCATGAAAACAGCCGGTGTTTTAAAAATAATTCTACTGACAGAAATTAAAGAAAAGTAAGTTTGGTGAAATTCTGACTCTTTTCCACCTTAATGTACTAAAAACAAAACAAACCAAACAAAACCACTAGCTAAACATATGCTCAGCAAATGCATAAACATACAACGACACGTGTGATGTATCAGAGTTGATATATGAGATGTTTTGTCTGAGTACAAGGAAAGCTTTTCAGAAGAGGTCGAACTAAGCCTGTGCCCACCCTGTAAGTGTTCCCAGATAGGCCCTGCCCCTCCCAACTCCATAGGCCACCTGACTACACACCCAGCTCCCCACGATCTCCTCCCCCAACTGCTCACTGCCCAGAGTTTACTCCAGGGAGAGCAACCACACTTGATGAGACCCACTAGAAGGCAACAGAAGAAAACTAGCAAGGGGTGATGTTGGAAAAAGTCTGGTCATGGAAATGGTAGCCTACCCTCAAACCTGCAAACCATCAATACAAGTTCCACGAAACAGCCAAGTCTCAGCTAGCTCTCTTACGACTCAGTTCTCTCCTGAACCTCGCACATGCTCACACTGAAGGAAGAAAGGTGAGGTGAACAGAAGGAAGGAAAGACACAAATGACCTCAGGTGTGCAAGTTCCAGGACAGAAACCAACAAAACCCTCCCAGACAATGCCCCCCAAATTACTAGTTCCACAGCAATGAACACCACGGAGAACAACCCAGAAGATCACGTAGACAAAAAAATTCACAAGAATGATAAAACTGTGCTGGAACAAGTCAGAGGAGATGAATGTACCCCAAGAAAACAAAAGCAAAGACCTGAAGGAAACACAGATGGTAATCGAAGATATGAAAATGAAATTAATAAGGAGACAGAATTGCTGGGGAAAAGCCAGACTGAGGTGGTGCTGGAAATGAAAAACTCCGGAAGCCAAGTAAAATCGTCAGTGGAAAGACTCTGACAGAAGGGTCCTGTGGAAGGCAGTCAGGACTGGGAGACAAAGGAAGGGAACTGGATCACTCAGTAAAAGTCAGTGAGAGAAAAAAAAGAATAGAACATGAGTACACTTCGGGACACAATGAAAAGAACTAACCTTCAAAATAAGTGCGTCTCAGAAGAAAGAAAATCATACCACAGTGAAGGTGTAGAAGAAAACTTCCTCAAACCTAGAGACAGAGATGTCCATCCAAACACAAGAAACTTACAGAACTTGAAACAGACAGGATTAGAAAAGGAACTTCCCATGACACACTACAGTCAAAACGTTAAACACACAATAAAGAAAGCTGTGAGAAAGGTCAAGTCACATACAAGACTGGCCCATCAGAACTACCTGATTATTGATAGAACACTTGTAAATCCAGAAGGGACTAGAAAGATATATTCTAAGTTCTGGAAGACCAAACTACCAACCAGACAACTATATCTAGCAAAAAATAAAAATAAAATAAAACCTTTGCATGATAAAAAGAAATTAATATCTGACCACTAAACCAGCTCTACAGAGGATACTAAAGGGAGTAATTCTGTCTAAAGCAAAAGACAACACACCCAAGGGACCACAGTACATAACGCCAGGACAGTTCATCAAAACAAGGCTAAGAAAGCAGCACAAACCAACAATATGACAAGAGTTATCACACAAGTGTGATTGCTAATCTTGACTGTCAACTTGACCACATCTGGAATTAACTGGGACCTGAGCTGCTAGGCACTCCTGTGAGAAATTTTCTTAAAGCCATTATCTGGAGCAAGAAGACCCACCCTCCATCTGAACCACACCTTCCGTGGCAGCCTACAAGAAAGGGCATGGAAGAAGGAAACGGATTTTCCTGCTTGTCCCCACTCTCAGTGGCCAGTCTGTCTGTCCTGTTGCTGCAGTCAGTATTAAATCCAACTTCCTCAGGAGTCCAACACAGACTGACCATCAGCTCTCCAGGAATCCTCCCGGACTCTAGTGCCAAATTGGGACTGCAGAGACATCCAGTCTCAGGGACAGAACAATACCAGAGTCCCAACCTTTTCCTCATGAGACAGACATTGCTGGACTGGCCAGACGACGGCCCGTTAGCCAGTCTAACAAACTCCCTTAACACATGTGCTCATTCGCTCAGTTCTGCTCCTTTAAAGAACACTGACTAACACGATGTCTTCCAGTAGTAACTCTTAATTTAGTCTCAAGTCCCTGATAAAAGGAACAGACGAGCAGACCCATCTTTTTACTAACTCCGAGACCTACCATCAATTGCAAACGCTGTCTTAAGGAACAAGGATAGAAAAAGGTATTCCAAGTAAATGGAACTAAGAAACAAACATCATAGTTATTTTAATGTCTGACAAGATGGACCAAAACTAGTCAGCAGAGTTAAAGAGGGACACTTCATATTCACTAAAGAACAGTCTGCTAAGAGGGTAGTACAATTCTAAACATATGTGTACCAACCAGGTGTGCCCAGACAGTCTACTAGCTCTAAAACACAGTCACATGTTCTCCTAGTCCAGAGGACCTGCCCCTAGGAATGAAGCTGCAGGCCACAGAAAGAGTGCATTTCAAATTATGACACATGCTACTAAGCTAACTGCAAAAAGTATTCACCATTTTCACTTGTTAATAGTGCATGATGCCTTTACTTTTGCCAACCCTAGTTATTTTTTTTTAACAAAATATTAATTAGTGTTATTGGAAAAATATGTCCTTTTATGTTTTTCTGACAATCATGTAAGGCTGAATATATCTAATATATGCATAATATTTATTTAATAATGAATAGTAGCCCAAATTAGTATTGGTTTTATAGGACAGGAACAACTATACCTACACGGCTAAATACTGCCATAATCTTACCCATCATGCTCCTCATGCCCCTTCATAGGAAACTGTTGGTTATCAGTGTTTGCACTCTGTTGACTTGCTCCATCATCAACAGTGTCAGCAGCACCACTGTATGGACTTCCTGATACTTTTACTTCATTATTTTTATACTTTCTTGTTTCTTCAACCTTTAATGAAAAGTTGACAGTATAGATAACTTGTTTTTTTTTTTTCGGGGGGGTGGGGGTGCTGAAGAAATGTCTCCATTGCTAAGAGCACTGACTTGGTTCCCAGCACTCACATGGCTGCTCACACCCATCTGTAACTCTTGCTCCCGGGGATTCAATGTACTCTTCTGACCTCTGCCTGCACCAAGCATGCATGTAGTGCACATGTATACATGCAGGCCAGACATACCCACACATAAAATAAAAATACACCTAAGAAAATAAAAGCCATTATTCAATGGAAAAGGAACTCTTCTTTTTAAAAGTCCTTAGTTTTCACCACTTGACAGTTTAACCATGACTTAGCTTTAACATGTGAGTCCTGAGTTTTGTATACTGAGAAAGAGGAATGATATGCAGAATTTTATTCCCAGGAGTACTTCTTGAAGGCTGCAGATTTTTTAAAAAAGAGTTTATTTTTAAATACTAAGAGTATACACAAAGAAAAATTAGAAAACAATTAAAATTTTCACCAGTAAAAATAATGTTTTAGATATTTCTAAATCACTAGACTATAATTAAGAAGTAGAAACTAATTCATCTCGTTCTAAAATAGGGTATTATGAACGAGTAGACTGAATGTGTCTATTATTTGTTTGCACTATACTTAATTATGGGCTACACTTACTGAAAACAAGTTAGGGTTTTTGTTTTAGTATTACAAGGTTACCTCATCATACATTAAAGATACATTGGCCCTTTTTCTAAAGATCACTGAGTGGAGAGGAGGCACACTGTTAAGTGCCAAAGTCAATAAATACCAATTAGAAAGAAGAGCAACATCAATTCCAACTATAAACTCTGGTGGTGTGTTCATCTCCATTAAGTCCAGTTACTACCGTTCAACACCGTGGCTGAAACCATGTAGAGTAGCTACCAGTTTCTGACAGGGAAATAAAGTTAGAAAGTTACTGCATTTACTCCAATACTATAGGCCTCACTCCAGATTCTCTTAACAGGCAATTGAGCTTATTTTATGTGCTGGCTCAGAGAATGGTTTCAAGTTATTTTGAGTGGACTGAGGGTGAGTGAATGATGCATGTACACGAATGCACCTGTGTTTACATGAGTGTGTATGTGTGTGTGGGTCCAGAGGCCAGAGGAGAATGCTGGTGTCTTCTCTAACACTCAGCCTCATTCCACTGACACACGTCTTTCACTGAAGCTGAAATTCTTTATTTCGGTGCTGGCTACTGAGCCCCCAGAATCAGCTGTCTCTGCCCCAGTGCTGGGGTTACCGACACACATGTCCACGTTAGGCTGTTTTTACATGACTATTGGGATTTGAACTCAGGTCTATAGATTCTTATACAGGAAGCACTCTTACCCAAGGAGGAATCTCCCTAGTCCTATATGGTGATATTTTATTTGTACTGAAATGTGATTTTATTTGTATGTTAATAAATAAAGTTGCCCAGGGGTCAGAGCTAATAGCAAGCCATAGCAGAAGCCGGGTGGTGGTGGTGCACGCCTTTAATCCCGATCACATGACAGGCAGATCTCTGTGTGTTCAAGGATACAACCAGCATGGAGACATACGCCTTTAATCTTAATACCAACCATAGAAGACCTGGAGGTCTGTATAGACAGGCAGTGACGAGGAGGTCATGTGGTTGGGTTTACAACCAATGAGAAGGCAGAACAGAAAGTCAATAAAAAGACAAACACACAGGAAGTAGGTCTCTTTCTAAGGGAAAGGACAACAGCGGCAGCAAAGGGTAAGAAAGGTTTTTAGTATCAGCTCTTAGCTACTGCTCTGACTTCTTGGGCGTTTTATCTCTGCATTTGGCTCTGTGTTTCTTATTTAACAAGACTGTTACATCTACAGTCCTATTTTAAATTCTAGAACTAGTTAAAATGTTTCCAAAATGAAGTATTAGAGGCTGGAGAAATGGTTCAGTGGTTAAGAGCACATTCTCTTACAGAAGACCTGAGTTTGGTTCTCAGGACACTACTGAGCTAGTATCTGCGTGTAACCAGCTCCAAGGGATCCCATACCCTCTTCCGCCATCTGCAGGCACCTGCACACAGATGCACCCCCCCCATATACATAATAATAAAAAAACTTTTTAAAAATTAAATATTAAACTATAATATACTGGTCCTAAAGGCCAGTCTGAACGATGCTACATTACTGGAGTGGACAGCGTGTCAGACGGGGATCAAGCTTTCACGTACCTTCCGCTGGCTGTCTTCACTGCTGCTGAGCCGTTTCCGCTCTTCTCTCGATGCCACTTCTAAGTCTGGCTCTGCAGACAAAGCACACAGTCAGAACAAAGTTAGCTTTATAAACACAGAAAAATAATCATTTGTTTTTTCATCTAAGAGTTTAGGTTAAGTTTAATCATTAACTACAAAGCTAAATATTTACAGCCTTAGGAAATACTCTCAATTATCCAAAACCTCAACAAATCATTCAGAAACACTATCTAGAACTAAATTCATGACATATAAAAAATAAGGATTCATGCACAAATTCATTCAACAAAATCCATGCTGGGAAAGGGTACTAAAAATAGCAGAGAAACATAAATGCACAGCACACACAACTCCATCTCCTAATAGTGACTTTGACTTCTGAAATTACTGTTAGTTACATATTACACCTCTGTCCCTGAACACTACCACATGTGCAATGTTTCCACCCACTATTCTGGTGGACTTCTTTTATTTCAGGACTCGAGTCCACTCTGCAAAGCTCTGAGTGTTGTTCTTTCTCTCAACTAACCCTAGGTACTGCTGCTTCTAACAAGCTAGTTCCACAATTTGTTAATCCAAACATCTGACTGGCTTAAGGTCATCAGTATACTACTACTGATGATTTAAAGGGCAAACATTATTGATGCTAATAAACAAAGCTTTATTCTCAGCAAGTACCAGCATTCTAGTAAGCATATTATTCAGAAGACAAGAACTTGCTAGGCTGTGGAGGGAGTCCCAACCTCCAGAGTTCAAGTGAACCTCGCCACAGCTTCCTAAGTGGCTAGGCCCACAGGTATGCAGCACTGTCCAACTCTCCAACAGGCATTTTCAAAGTTGGGGAGGCTAAAAAAGAAAAAAATCTTACAATCTCATGATTAACCTTTATGAATCCCTAGAAAGTACCAGGATTCGGAACTGTAAACAAGTTTCTGAAACATTGCAGTGGGGACATCTGAGTTGAAGCTTGTATTTATTCTTGTAAGTACACTTAAAAACTAGACAGTGACAATTATGGGGACATGAGAAAAGGAAGGAGCCACCACTGCAGCATCTGGTTCTGCCGCATGTCAGCTGAGAAGCAAGGAGTCAAGTGCAATTACTACCTGCTTCAGAGCATTGGTTCTCCTGCCGGTTGCGACTTTGGTTTGGAGGCCGCATATTAGATATCTTGCATTATCAGATATTTACATTAAGATTCTTAACAGTGGCATCGAAATAATTCTATGGTTAAGGGCCACCACAGCATGAGGAACTATATTAAAGCATTAGGGAGGTTGAGGACCACTGTAATAGAGACTTCTCTTTTCTCAGCAGTAAACCTACAGTTTTCTAGGGATCTCACCAGAAACCCATTTACACTAAAAGATAGAACCCCCTTGCACACCCATGGTTTAACCAGATTATAATCCTATTCAAGGGACCTCTGGAGACACCTTATAATCTCATTAAAACGAGAGACAAATGGAAGACAAAAAGGTTTCTAAACAACCCTTTGCGATGTAACATGAGAGCCACCATATGGCTAACAATTAGACACCACGGTCCTCTGAGAAGCCCACACCCACATTTGTGAATGTCATCTCTCCTTGAGTGTCTGTCTCTCTTTTATCTCCTCTGCTAGGAACTTCGTTAAAAAGGTCTTTACATGCATACCCATGCTTAGGTGTGCTTTATCCATTCCTGAAGGTCTTTCTCTCTACTTTTGGTAAAAACCTCAATCCTGCTTTATCATGGCTGGTGCTGAAATGCTTTTTTTGTGTGTCCAAGTCACAAACAGAATTTGACTGAGTTGAAGTCTCTAAGCGATTATGGGAACTCCTCTGGCCTCCAAGGGTGACAGTGTAGAACTGTTCCTGTTTCCTCACCACTGATGGATACCAATAAACTGTCCCATTCTTTATTTCCAATCTTTCAGCAAAACTGGGAGTAAACAATGTTTAGGAATCAGAAGACTGAGCAAGTCCAATATTTAATGTACCTTCCCCTAGAGCATTACACAATTTACCTGATTTGAATGTCTGTACATCCTTCATTCCTACTGTTTTGTTGAGAAGAGTATCTGTCTTTTTGATAGTAGGCTGGATGGGTTTGGAAACAGTTAAATTGTTAAAAATAATTTGTTAAATTGTTCAATATACATTTAACTAATGTCTATTTTATAATATGTAGTTAAAATTCATGATAAAAATATTACTATACCTCCATGACTGGATATTTCCTGAGGGCCTCTGAAAAGCAAAAGGCAAATTGTATGTAATTAAAAATATGGCAAACCAACCGTCTATTTATGCAGTTACCATGGAATTGACCCTCATGCTACATTTGAAAACGATCAGCTCTGCTACCCTCCTCTGGTTAGGCCAGCAACATATCAGAAATATGTTTGATAAAGAACAAGAGGTTAAGTTTGACAAAACATGCAGTTAGGACTCAAAGTGAGGTGTTTCCAATGACTGTAACTAAAATAGAAGCGTGTATTTGCCAATGTAAACATGCTGATGAACAGACAGAAACGTGACTGTTAGTTAGAGGAACAAGTTACGACTGTGAAGGTAAATTTTAGAGACGATGGTAAAAGCATGTCTTTAATGCAGCACATCAGAATGGTTTATCACATTATTCTACAAGCATTTATCATGGCCTGCAATATGTCCTATAATTTAGAAAGTACAAAGAAGGATGAAGAGTTCAGGTGAATGGACAATTCACTTCTCACCAGAGAAGCTTTGTTAATGACTAGGATGGACACACACTTGTAGAATAACAGTTAATGAGAACACCAGGTTTTCCATACCCTTGTGGGCTACTGGGATGCCTACATTTCTTGACTCCTCTAGTTTAGCCACCTTAGAGTTTCTTGATCCACTCATGCAAGATGGTATATAAGTCACATCTGAGAAATAATGTGCATGTTTTCAATATTAAATGATTATCAAAAGGAAAAAGGAAAATTGAGTTGTCAGATACTAGAATCATGAATATTAATAAACCTTTATTTCAAAATTGGTTTAATATTTAAAATAACAATTAAGAAATGAACCATATTATCTGTAACATGAATCTTAAAAGGTCTTATTAATAGTAAAAACCGGGAGCTAGATATTAGGGTGAAAGCTGAAAGATCAGAGAAACAGAACAAGCCAGCCACGTTCTTACTTCTGCGAAATCCTCAGCCTCAAGAATGAGTGTTCCCGTTTACTCACGCCTTAGATCCCTTTCTGTGCCATGCTGTCTTCCTTCCTAGTGCTGGGATTAAAGGCGTGTACCACCACGCCTAGCTGTTTCCAGTGTGGCCTTGAACTCACAAAGATCCACATGGATCTCTGCCTCCCAGGTGATAGGATTAAGGATGTGTGCCTCCACTGTCTGACCTCTATGTCTAATCTAGTGGCTGGCTTTGTCTGCTGATCCCCAGATAAGTTTATTAGGGTATACAATATATCACCACATATAGCCAGGTGGTGGTGGCACACACCTTTAATCCCAGCATTCAGGAGGCAGAAGCAAGCAGGGCTCTGTAGTTCAAGGCCAGCCTGGTCTACAGAGCGAATTCCCTAACATCCCTTCTTCATCAACTCCAAAAGAGCCTAGATTCTGCTCCTTCCTCCAGTTCCAGAGATCCAACACTCTTACATACACATATGTGCAGGCAAAATACCAGTGCACATAAAATATTCCTAAGGTCAAAATTCAGTATGTTGATATTAACAATATGTTATTCTTAAAATAATTATCTACTCTTAGTAACATTTATAGAAAACTGGCCTACATTTATTGACTGAGTCATTTAGGGCTCAGAGATTCAATTTGATCCAAATGCTAAATCTAGATGTTTTCTCATTGGATAAAGCCTTCAGATGCTGGACAGTGACCAACATAAAAGTAGTAAAATTTCTATTAAGAATTAGCCCCCATTCTATGGGTTACCTGCTTGCTCTGTGAATAGATTCTTCTGCTGTGCAGAAACTTGACTTCATGCAGCCCCTCTGTTGGTATTTGGGGCTTTTCCCTGTGCTATTGAAGCCTTACTCAGAAACTTGTTACTCGATGTCTTGAAAAGTATTCCCCGTGCTTTGTTTCTTTGCTTGGATAGGTTTTGTTTCTGTTTTTTCAAGAGGGTCTCACTGTGTAGCCCTGTTCTGGAACTCACCATGTAGACCAGGCTGGCCTTGAACTCTCAGAGATCTGCCTGCCTCTGCCTCTGAGCACTGAGACTAAAGGTACTGGCCACCATGTCTGGCTTCCCTTGCATTTCCTTCTCTCACTTCACGGTTTATTGTAAGGTCTTTGATACTCATTTCAAACTGACTTTTGCTCAAGGAGAGGCATGGATCTAATTTCACTCTTCCACAGGTACACAGCCAGTAGTTTTGTCAACACCATTTGTTAAACAGCTTTCTTTCCACTGCATGTTTTAGCCTTTGTCAAACATTAGGTGGCCACAGTCTTTGGGGCTGGTCTATTTCTGGGTCTTCTCTTCTGCGCCCTGGTCACTGGTTTGTTTTTATTCCAGAAGGTCTGCCTTGAGCATCCTAGCTCTATAGTATAATTTGAGGTCAGATATTGTGATACCTCCAGCTGCATTCTAATTCCTTAGGGTGGTTTTGGCTATGTGTGGTCTTTTATGATTTCTTGAGAATTCTTAGACTTTTTTTCTATGTTAGTGAAATATGACATGGGGATTTTGATGAGTACTGCACTAAATCTGAAGGTTAATTTTGGCCATAGTGCCATTTTCACAATATTAATACTGCCAATCCAGGAGCATGGATTTCCATCATCTAGCATCTTCTTGGATTTCTTTTTTCAAAGTCTTGACATTCTCACTGGAAAGGTCTATCACATCTTTGGTTAGGTATGTTCCATGTATACTTAATTCTTCTAAGCTATTATAAATGGGATACTTTTCTTAATTTCTTTCTCAGAGAGTATACTGCTGGTATATATGAAGGCTACTTTACCAACTATATTTCAAACAGAGGACTGATAACTGTGAGAATTTACAAAGAACTGCACATTAAATACCAAAAAAAGAAAACTACCAACCAACAAATGGGCTAATGAAATGGACAGCTTTCAAAAGAAACGCAAAAGGCCAATAAGTATTTTTAAAGTCTTGAATATCCCTAGTCATCAGGGAAATGCAAATTAGAACTACTCTGAGATTCCACTTGACCCCAGTCAGAATGGCTGCCACCAAGAAATCTGAGAGAGGATGGGTGCATTGCTGAACCCTCACCAGAGAAGCATCTCTGTGCAGAAGATGGGAATTAGCAGAGACCAAGGGGCTTTGGAGCACTCGGCCCTAAATGGAATGTCTGTCAAATCCTTATTCTCAAGGCTCAGAGATCCATGCAGAAGAGGAGGAGGTGGAGCAATTCTAAGGGCTAGAGGTGGTAGATGACTCCAAGGAAATAGCGTCTTCCAGACACAAAGGGCTGACAGACATAGGAACTCACAGACTTTGAAAACAGGCATAGGACATGCACATGTGCAAGTCAGACAAAGTCCCAGAACAAAGACGGGGAAGTGGACACAAAGTCCCACCCCTAACCAACAAGCTGTTCGCAACTGA